TGTTTTTTTTTATTTGTTATCCCCCCCCCCCCCCCCCCCCGACACACACACACCTTCTTGGGCTTCTTGAACTTGGCCATCTCTTCCGTCGTGTAGTACTCCGAGGCGTCTTTCACGTCCACCTTCAGGCTCTCCAAAACCTTCTTCTTCTCCCCCTCCTCCCCTCCCTCCGCCGCTGCCGCATCACGGGCCGTACCGCCCTGGCCGAGGGTAAGCCTGGGCCCTTCCTTCTTAGCCTCATCGTAGTGGGAAAGCACCTGTGGACAGGATAGACAGTTTCATCTCGTGCGGGTAAGAGTAGCAGCAAGCTTAACACGTTTCATTAGGGTTGATTTCACACCCCAAATTCTTTGGTCATGCATGTAGCCATCCGCTTATATGTGCTTTTCCCCCAAACCTTAAAAACTACAATGAACATTACGTAAACAACATTGGTCAATGCGAGCCTTGACACGTGGCTCTTTGATTTTTCTCGCTCCTCGGCTGCACTATGCGAAAAAACAATCGTTCGTGACCTTGAAAATCGCCACCCGTTCCCAACGTACGTAACTATTGGCGCTATCTCCTGCACACCACCTACTACTATGTCATGCAGGCTCAAGCTCTCTAGCATAGTACAGAGTACAGGGACAAAAAAGAAAAGAGTGAAAAAAAAGGAATGACTTCGATCACCCGCTGTGCACCTATTCCAGTGCATGGCTTCTGATTAGTGTGATCAATCACCTTCCGCTCAGCGCCGGGCCCGATCTCGCCCTCAAACTCTTCGTCGTCGTAGGCCTGATAAGCGCCTCGCTTCGCGCGAATAGCTTCCTTGTCCAGCTCCTTTCGGCGCTGCGAGGGAAAAAAAAAAAATGAAGGGAAAAAAAAAAGTTGCCGTCAGAAAAACCAACGACAAGAGCTATTGCTAGAAGTAAAGTAGGAATACGCGAAGCCCTTCACAGGTACAGGCTGACACGGCAAAAAAAACGTTTCGTCCGCTGTTGCCCAAATCCCCTCCCTGCAACGTTAGTGCTGGTTCTTTTCACAAGGTCGAGGAATGGATTTCATTGGTCACCACCTAACTGGAACGGAAAAAAAGTCAAAGCCGCAAAAATTGTGTTACGACTCGTAAAACAGCAGCGACACATATACATACGACAACAGCAGCAAACGTCAGGTTTAGTGTACCTCGGCCTCTTTCATGTGAACGTTCTCCAGCTCGTCTTCATCGTCCTTCAGCCCCGTCACACGCCCGTGCTCGTCCTCGTCCAGCAGCCCCTGATCCTTCAGGGTGAGGATGACGGAGTCGCCAGCCTCGAACGACGCCGCCCCGTGCGTCACCTTCCGATTTTTTCGGATCAGTGGTACGCACAACAACCAAACGTTGAAAGTTGAAACAGGCTGTTGACGCCAGTATTAGATGGTATGCACCACAACCATTGTTAAAAACAGGCTGTTGACAGCAGTTTACAACGTGTTTTTTTTCTTCTTTCTTTTTCGTCCCTTCCGTATTTTTGAATCAGTGGTATGCACAGCAACCAAACGCTGACTTCCAGTATAAATGGCATGTACAACAGCCAAACGTTGATTGACAGTATAAATGGTATGCACAAACAGCAAGCGTTGAAACAGGCTGTTCACAGCAGCAGCGTATGTCTGCATTTACTTTCTTTCTTTCTTTTTCTCATCAATTCTAGGCGCCAGGTGGGGTCGCACAGGAGGAGAAATTGTCCACCTCACCTCAGTACACAACGGCCGTGATGCCACAGCAGTTGTTTGCATAGGTTTGGGTGTTTGATCTTGGGCACGACGTGTCAGTGAGAGTGAGGTTGGGGTTATTATCAGCAAGGACTTAACATAGCACTTTTGTCCATGCTCTGGTCGAAATAAACTAAACCAAAGTCATGCAAAAGAAACAAAAGCGCGCATGGTCGACACGAGTCAGTCGCGTAACCCCGTCATATGATGCCACACACACGTGGTAAACACCAACACCAACGACAACAGCAACGAGGCAGCGGCCAAAACACGGCATGAGACAATCAGCCCAGACTAGACAGGGCGAGAGCTGCCGTGGCCGATAGAGAGCTCACATGAGTATCAAACACACGCACGTCACACACGTACCTTTAGCCCCGCCAAGTTTTCGGCCCCGTACGCCGCCTTCCTTCTCCCGTCTCCGTCCCCGCCGCCGTTGGCAAGTTCCATCTCTTGCTCCTCTAGGATTCTTTTCGACACAAAAGTACGAAACGAGAGAAGGGGTAAAAGTCAATGCACAAAATATTCAATCCTCTTTTTCTCTTTTCGACACGTACGTACGAGAAGAGGGAAGGGCGGTCAAGGGGTCAATGCACAAACTCTCTTGCTAATCCTCAACTGCAGCGAGCAGAAGGTGCACATTTGGGAGGTTAGGAATACGGGTCTGTACGTAAAGAGCCCCCCTTCACCAATTGAGGATTCAACTTCCCCAACGCCGTCCAAGCCCGCTCTCTCTTCAATCTGCGTGGCCATTAACGCACCTTTCGCGTTGCCTTGCCAACAAGCGCTCCTCTTCCATCGCCACCGCCTTCTTCCTGCTGCGGTTCACCCAATCAGCAGCGCTAACCACCTCCTCGTCTCCCGGCTTCACCTCGCCGAGGGTGTCCCCCTGACACAAGTAGAAAAAAAAAGCCATAAAAAAAACCGATGGGGTGACGTCGTTCTGACATTTTTTGGACGGGGGGAGGGGGGGTGAAGTTTGCTATGCAGTCTCAAAGCAGGAGAGTTTTATCTGCATCGGATTTCTCCCTGGGCATCAAAAGCAGCAGCCATTCCGATGAAACCAAGATAAAGGGGAAACGTGTGAAACGGATTCACGCACCTTTAACTTTTCGTTGAGCTGCCGCTTGGTCCTGGCCTTCTGCAAACGCGTTTCTAGCTCCTTGAGCTCCCTGGCCTGCTCCTCCTCCTCTCTCTTCAGCCGCATGTTTTCGACCGCGATCTGAAACCATAGATCGAATGGAGAAAAAAAAAAGGCGGTTGTAGAAATTAAGCCACCGTTGCCTTTAGACCAAACAAGTGGACCAGGAATAGACAACGGGTTGGGTAACTTGGGAACAACTTTAGCAAGCACGTAACGAGAGCCTCACGGCGAGAGCTACATTAAGGAATGCTCGGCTTTGGTCAATAGTACTCAAAGAGCACCAGGTCGAGCCTGGCCTTGGGTGTCGACACCAGCTATCCCGTCGTTTGCTTTTTGTCGACCGAATTTTCAAAACCAGGACAGCGGCACCGTAACTACCCTCGCCCGTAGTGATACGAAGACATACACACACACAAATTGATATTTACCCTCAGACTGCTGTACCCTTTTTCGTCCAACCTCTTCCGCGACCCCCCCTGACGGGGGAGTCCGATGACTAGAAAGCATGCGCGCGTTTTTCATCAAGTGTACGTAACGCTGGCCAAGTGCCATTCGTCAGCCAATCAGCGTGTTCGATGCTTCACAAAGATACACACAACGCAGATCTCAAGAAGCCAACTTCAGGACTAAACACCTCCCCCCCCAAAAGTTGTGGCCCTAATTAATTCAACCCGGCATTGCAGTCTTACCTCTTCCTCTGTCGGCTTCCCGGAAGCGCTACCCCCGACGTTCAGCGGCTTCAGCCCCAGCATGGCGCGCACACGGTTCGTCTCTTCCACAGACATGCTGCACACAACAACGACAAGCGTCGACGGGCGTGTGAACCTCGTCAGGGTTACGCCAATAGAAATGTGGATCACTTGCTCAGTTTCTAATTTCGCAAGGTTGCAATTTTGTTTCTTAAATCGTCAAACAGTGACGTGTTGGACGACTAACGGAACATCCAAGAGGATTGGCGTTGTTTTCACGGCTGCTGTAGGGATGGGAGAATCAACAGGAATATGCAAGAGTTGCGTTCGTTACTTTTTACCTCGTCACCGCTGTTGCTGGGTGGCCAGAGGCAGCAGAAAACGCACCTGATCTCTCCCTTGTTCTCCTCCGTGTTGGGCTTGATCTTTTCCACGTCCACAACCTTGGGAGGCGATTCCGACCGGTTGCGGCCGTACCCCCCCCCACCGCCGTACTCCTCATCGTCGTCGTAGCCCATGTTGACCTTGTTGCGGGATTCCTGTCACGTTTGTTGGACGTGCGCCGTATGTCGTGGCCCGTTCAGAATATTGGTAGACCTAAGTGAATAACTTTCGTTCCGCCCGCAATTAGGAAGTTTGACAGGCTCCATGTACGGAGGCTGGGGATTGTCGCGAAAAATAACTCAGGTTGGTTCTGACACATCTCTCAGCATGGCACACCCCAGCATATCAAATTGCAGGAGCCAATAACTCGACAGCCTATGAGGCCAAATCAGGAAACTGAGCCTCCGTCCAAGAAATAGCGCCTCGTCTTCGCTGGGGTTGGGTATCATGGATGCATACATGCGTACGACCATTATTATTCGGCTTGGGAAGGCCGGCTTCGACCACATGTGCTACGGAGGTAGTTATCTCTCTCTTGATACCAAAGGTATGCGATGGCTCTTTAAAGACCGGTTGTTCCACAGCCAACAGGCTGCCAATCCCGACAAGTGCTGTATGGTTTCGGAAACATCCAATCGAGAGCTTTCCGTGGCACGGGTCGGTCGGCTTCTTGCTTGCACCCTCTTGGTCGTGAGCCAAATCGATCTTCTTTTTATTATTTTCTTAATAGGACACAATGAATCCATCTCTATCTACGGAAAAGAGTCTAAAATAGACTAGAAACGAAGAAATAGCGTCAGCGGAAGCTGCGATACCTGTATTTCTACGATTTCCCGCGCAGCATTCAGCGATATCTCCCCTGTGGTTAAACCTCGATACAACGTAGCACACCTGTGCGTTCCCCCGCCTTCTACGGGTGCAGCTACCAGTCTAGGTGGCGGTCTCGCGGTTGGTTCGGGAAACAACTGCACAAAAAGCCGGACAGCTTCTTCGAACGGCGGTGCTATGTGTAGGTGCTACGTACCTACCGCTGCGGCTTGCTAAATCGACCACGGGACGTTCGTCGTTCTTGAGAACCTTCCCGAAAGCAGTCAAGTTTCAAACTGCTGGGGTTGTACTCTGATCTGCCGGTTGCGCGGCCAAGATAAGATGCAACATGTAACATACGCACGCCAACAGGCCGAATCAAGTGTACGCAGCTTGCTGCCGACGGAGCGCCTAGGACACCCTGAGCAGCGCTCTCGCGCTATATTGTAGTCCACCGTAGGCGCACGGCTCATCGGATGTGGGTAGCAGCGAGAGATCCCGGGACTTGTGTGCGCTACGACGGCGGTGCTGTGCTGCATCGCACAATAAATAAATCATTAACATGCTAACTAGGCGAACAACATCGGCTGCTCCGACCGCGTCTACTGCAAACGCAACGCAACGCCAGAGTTTGAACCCACCATTGTTAACATCAGCGGCGATACCGACTTGTGTCGGGTACGGCAGTAGTCTAGAACACGCAGCGCAGCGGATGTGTAGGGCACAACTTCTGTAGTCTGGATGCCAGGCGTGTCATACCTTTCTCTTGCTGCTCCCGCCCTCTCGGTCCTGCGCCCCGCGATCACGGCTACTGTCTCGGTCATGCCTCCCGTGCTTTCGGCTACTGTCCCTGTCTCTGTCCCTGTCCCTGTCCCTGTCTCTCCCCCCCCTGTCGTCGTCCTTGTTGCTGCGATCCCTCCCGCCGTACCCTCTCTCCCCACGCCCGCCTCCATCCCGCTCTCTGCTGCTACCACGCTCATCTCGGCTGCTGTAGCGATCCTTGTCACCTCGGCCCATCGTTTCCGACCAGATGCGATCGAGATCACAGCGACAGGTGGCTGTGCTTGCTCTCCCTCTTGCTTGTGGGGTGCTTCGTCCTGGCTCTGCACAGCAGTACAGGGCTGAGGGGTTTCCTTCTACGGTGCCCCCGACACAAGTACCTACGATCCTTGCATATACGGTGCCCCTGCCTATTTGATGGCTGGTGATCGGCGCCACCGCACACCACCGGGGCTGTTACCACCGTCCTCTATCTTCAGCCATGAAGACCCTGTTAGCCACGCGCTATGTGACCATCCCCGAGGGCGTCACCATCGACGTGAAGTCCCGCGTCGTGACCGTCACGGGACCCCGGGGAGAGCTGGTGCAGAGCTTCAAGCACCTCAACCTCGACTTGCAAAAGTCGGGCAAGAACAAGCTGCGCGTGGACCTCTGGTTCGGCAACCGCAAGCAGGTGCGCGCGCGTGTGGGTGTGTATGTGGGGAGGTGGCGCGGTATTGTCGTGGGATTACCTAGCACTCCCGCTACGACCGGGTGGGTGCTGTATGTTATTGCTGCGTCCAACTCTCTATTGGTTGGGGGAGTTTTGAACGGATGCACCACATTGGGTTGCGAAAGGCGAGGACGGAGCGACAGCAATGGGCGAGGATTGATGGGCCGCCGGCATTGCGCACACGCTCGCCCCATCCTCTCAACTTTGACCGGAACTACCATATGATTGCTGGAAAATTGGTTTCTGGGAAATTGGTAGTCCTACCTGACCATTGCTGTTTTGTGTGGGCCGCGTGTGCACAAGGACTGCTGCTGCTGCTGTTCTCCTCGCGCAAGGGTTTGCGCAAAAAACGTAAACCCCCCTATTTTCTTCCGTATCTGAGATATTACACGCAGTCCGTCAAGCGATCCGCAAGGATTGCTAGCGGTCAAACCATGTGCAGCATGCCGTGATGTTGTGCACGGTCGCGCATCCCTAGAATGGCCTAGAATAGACATAACGGTACAGCAGTCCATGACAGCCCAAACTCATCTGATGGGGAAAATGTCGCCACCGCTATGAAGATGTACTGCTGTAGTGAAGTCATCGTATTCCTGGCCATCATTACCTGCGCGTGCTCTCGTGTCACCAGTCGATATTCTGCTGTACGCAGACAGTCTGCGTCAAAGGTCGAGGGCCTCGCGAGGGCTACTGCTATGGTTGTGAAAACTATATTAAGCAGCTCTCTCATTTCGCCAGAGGAAAAATCTGTGAACACTCTTTACAGCGGACGATTTTTGTTTTAGCCTGTTGCCGACACTCCCCACTGCCCAAGCGCAGTCTCCAAACCGACCTTTTCTTGGACAGCAAACAAGCGCCGCCGCCCAATGACTCCGCTGTGTTCCAATTCGTCCACGAAATCGTTTCTCTTTGGCACGGATAGACGCAAATACCCAAGAAATACCTATCGCAGCTTACTTCGCGGGGGTACCAACGCTTCGTGGTCCCGTCCGGTCATAAACCATGCCCAACGTATCGTGGATGTTCGCACTGCCATGAAGATGCTTCGTTGCGTTGATGCGACAGAGTACGAACAGAGAGCGATGCGTGCAAACAAAGCTCTCGACGAGACATTCTCAAAACCACACCGTTCTCGGCGTTGGCAACCCGTGGGTCCTATTAGTAGAGCAGTCGAGCCATGAAAGTCTGTCTTTGGAAGAGGTTGCGACGATTCTCTCCCACTTTCACGGCACACCCAGAACCACCACATGTGCTGCGACGAATAACGTACCTGAAGGTAGTGCCCGTACGGTTGTTGTTTTGCGTCTGATTAGCGAGACCCAACTCCATCTTTTAACTCTGAAATGTACCGGTGGGCATCAAAGTGTTCGTCCCTGTGCTCCGCGACAGCTCATTGCACACGGACACGATGAGATGCGATGCACATGTATCGTGCCAAGGCAATTCAATGGCGGCATCATCAAATTGCACTCGTAGGTGTACCTGCGCATGTCGTATCGACCGTTTTCCTCTGCTGAAAACGCCGGAGGCATGTTTGCAACTTGACGCCCTACACGTCCCTCTTTCTCTTTCCTGTCTTGACCTGCTATTCCCCCGTTTGCCTTGCCCCCCCACTCTTGCGTGACGCCTGCTAAATACCAACTCATCTCCCCTCTCTGTGGTGACGCGGCAGCTTGCCTGCATCCGCACCATCTGCTCGCACGTCGAGAACATGATCACCGGTGTCACCAAGGGCTACTTGTACAAGATGCGCTTCTGTTACGCTCACTTCCCCATCAACGTGTCCATCACGGGAAAGACCGTCGAGATCCGCAACTTCCTCGGCGAGAAGCGCGTTCGCAGGTGTGTAACGTCTACAGTACGTCTCTGTTTTTGGACAATACGGTTGTAAATTTGCGTGAAAAGTACCACGGAACAGGCCATCTTTCCGTTGGAGATATCTCCGGGAGCTATTTCGTCTGAAAATTTGGTGATATTCCCGATGGTTTTGCCGTCGCTCGCAGCGGTGTTGCGATTCCCTCTACCCGCCCAATAACCCTTGTTGCTTGTTTGCGCAGGGGAATCGGCTATTGCATGGGTCTCACTCTGGTTTATACTCCGTGCTTGTTTTTATGATGATGCCCATGGGCAGATCTTTTGCCGTTTGCCGACCCCGCCACCCGACACTGTCATGTTTTCGGCACTCGAGAAGTGTTGCTGGAACCCTTTGGGGCGATTTTGAATGTTGTTTTTGCGGCGTGTTTCGATGTCGTTGCAGGGTGGAGCTGGCCCCTGGTGTGGACTACGTACGTACCTCGGACGTTAAGGACCAGATCGAGCTCAGCGGCAACGACATCCAGGCCGTTTCCATGACCGGTAAGCCTTCGTCCGTGGTTTCATCATCCATTCATACACTGGAAAACTGCCTCTGTGCAAGAAAAGATCGGGAGAAACACATAGTTGCTTGAGTTGTCCGAAGTGTTTCGGCTTCTGCATGCATTCGAACCGTTTACGTCCCGGCCGAGATGGACGACAATGCCTTGTTGATCTTGTGAGTTTGGCGCAGGAGGGTAGCACGCGTGCGCGTTTGATGCCACGCCGTGGGTATAAATTTCAAATTTCAAGTAGAGGGGTACAGCTGGCCTATCCTGGCCCGCTCCCAGGCGTACTCTTCTCACGTGGGAACGGTCGTGTTGTGGTCGAGTGAGGACAAGGAGGGCGAAGGTTTGTGGAGAGAGGTTGGATAAGATCAAGACGGCTCGGCTTAGCTGTATTGAGCCAAGTTGGGACTACTTGTACTGTCTTTCCTGGAAATATAGTGTAGGTAGTAAATATCTTTCGGTTGCGTATGCGGCATTTGATGGGTTCACCGGGCCGGCACGTCTGCAGTGGTTGCTGGTCGGGAGTGTTCCCGAACGCCTGGTGTTTTGCTGATGTCTGGCGAATCTCCCGTTGGCGGAGTGTTGTGGTGTGTTGTGTTTGCCCGAGCAGGGCGTGTTGGGCCTGTCTCGCTGTCGACGACGAACGATCTTTGACCTTTCGCGGCGATGGATACTCGGAAAGTGTGCGTGTAGACTAGTTAAAGGCATCAAGAAGGCATGCCGTTTGCTGGTCTGACCCACAAAGGCTGTGCAATGTCAGTGTCAGAGCAGCTGACGATCGTTGCCGAGAGGGTCGTGCGGTAGATGCTGCTGTGCTTGACGAAGCCGAGCTCGTCGGCGGCGTGATGTTGCTGAGTTTACACTATCGGTCATTGCTGGTTCACGAGCTGGGGTTAACGGTCTTTCGCAGAAACTCTACTCACGAGCAGTATCCTGCATTACTGTAGCACTCAAGTGGTGATGATGCAGGGTGCGTGTTGCAACGTTAGACGTTCTCAACCTCGATCTTGGTCTCATTTTCGGTCAAGAAAGGCGTAGGCAAAAGGAATCTTGTTCGGCGCTTTGCCCACCGCGCATCATGCGGTCACCTGTACCTCAGAACGTGCCGAACGCTGAGAAATTTGTCCGGGGACTACTGTAGTTCGCTCTGTAGCATGCAGAAGAGTGGTTTCGTCTCCCTGGCTTTGCCTTGCTTCGTGAACACCGCTGGTGTGCTTCCAGCCATGGCATGACATGAGATTCCGTACATGATCGAAGTCGCCTTATATGTTGTGTTTTAACATCCTACCCCGATGTCTTGTGTCTACACGACTGCTTGATCACCCCCCCCGCCCCCTTCCCGTGCCCGCGCTCAAAATCTGACAAACTTTTATCGCGGCTTGAACTGTCGCCTGTCTCGTGTCACAGCGGCGCGCATCCAGCAGTCGACGTCGGTGAAGCGGAAGGATATCCGTAAGTTCCTTGACGGTATCTACGTGAGCGAGAAGCTCAACATCGTCCAGGAGGATGAGGGCTAAGCCAAACCAAGAGACGCGGGAGAGAACGAACGCCGAGCTAACCTCTTGCAACTCCCCTCGTGGATGAACAGGGAAGCTTTTGCTTTCAACAGGCGGCTTGTGTGGATTATGCGGGAAGAACAAGGGTGTTGGTGGTCGCCACGTCGAGACACTCCTGTCTTGAGGAGTGCTTGGCGGCGGCGTGTTCTTTCGTCCCTCGCCGGATGGGCGCGTTGCGTTTCTTTCGAGCGCGGTTAGTTTCGATTGGAAGGTTTAGGCTTTTCGCGAAGGTCTGCCCTTGTTACCGAGGACGGTGGTGAAAAAAAAAACAAAAAAAACTCGTCTTGCGCTTACGCTTGTGTGTGAGCCCGTGATTGTCGTGCTTGTCGAACACTTTATCAAAACCCAGTCTTGCATGGAGCGCGTTCCACGCGATCACTGGGCACACCAACCAGCACGTTTATTTGGTGAACACTTAACGATACCCAGCCTCGCAATCGCGATCGACATTGCTACCACAGGCGCCAGCACGTGTTGACTACACATTAGCCGAGAGTTGTTTACCGCAAAAATTGCCAAGGAACAATCTGACAATCGCCATTGGGTACCCACCTCCCCCTCCTCCTACCTTCGGGTTCACCTCATAGATAGTGCAAAACTTGACGTCGCTGTCATCCTGCTTTCACCTGCGGAGTCCGGAACTAAAGCCTTGGCATGGTGTACCAGTGATTACCGACCACATAAACCGCTCGAGATTGCTTTGCTCATCATATCGACGAACTGCTATATGGAGAGTCGTCAGCGCGGGAGCGACGAGATGTTTTTTTTTTCGTTTCTCTTTATTCTGGGAGATGGGGACGCGATTCTTATCTTTTCCGCCAAACATGCCAAAATGGGCTTCAAAGGCTAGTCCACATGGGGCAAAGACGGGCGGCCAAGAGTTGAGCGATGGCATTGCTTATTCTTACGCCGCCAACGGCGAACGACCGAAAGCAATGCTTACTACCGTAGTGTACGGCATGTCAGCATGCATGTCACTGCTGTGAGCCCCATGGCATGATGCTGATCCGTGATTCAAAATTTCATTTTGCGCGTGACTACTGTAGTCCGCGGAGCCCCACACCACGCTTCATATCTTTGCCAACGCGCCCCTTGGATACGCCACATAGAAATCATGGGAGGATCACCCTTCGATATTACTACCTGCGAGTCGTGACTACTTTTACCAAGAAAAACAAAAACTCAGCTGCAAAAAATGATGTAAAATCGACACGAGAACGGTCGATTATAGCCCTCTTCCCTCGAGGCTTAACGGCATGGGGAAGGAAATGTGTTGTGTGACAGGAAACAACGTCCTGATCAGTCCCCGATCAATACAAATCGAATCAATCAATCTGTCGCGTCCATGAAGAAGAAGTTTCCGCTGGCCTTCTGTTCCCGGTCCTTGACGCTGTCGAGCTTGTTGATTCGGGGTCTGAAGTTGGTGGGGTCTCTTCGGAAGGTGATCCGCAGTAGGTCCAAGAACGTGTTCATGCCCGAAAGCAACCCCTGCGGAGAATGCGCGGTCGTCTGAAGGTAACAAAAACAGACGCAGGCAGTGGAGTGGAGCGTTAACTCGTGGCGCCAACATCACAACGTAAGGTGGAGCAGTGGCGGGGAGGGGATTCAACCGTTGCTTGCATACGCTTTCTACGTCTTGTGACCGTTGACGACTCATCCCTCTCAAGACAAACCACCCCTCCTGCGACAGAATAGACACCACCACAGGCGCTCCTAGGTTGCTGCCAAATTCCACAGGCAAAAACGTTATTTTCTTGCTTTCGGGGCTTTTACAGCAGTGGCGACAAAACATGCAGACACGGCGAAATACGAACACATGCTGACCAAAAACGCAAGCCCGGAAACTACTTGAAAATGAGAACAAAGTCCTTGCGACCAGGACGAGCATGTAGCATCGAAGGTCCTGCGTCTATCGCACCACTACCAGTAGTCACCACAGTCCTGGATGTGGACACGAATGTGGCAACGACATGTAGACCCGTGTACGGTAACTTGCCTCGATACCGGGCTCTCCGTCATAGACGATAACTCTATCCGCCAGGTAGGTGGCCATAATGAAGTCGTGCTCCACGACGAACGCCGTCTTCTTAGCGTGCAGCACGAACCGCTTGATCAGCTTGGCGCAAGAAATGCGCTGGGACACAGAAATGGAGGGAGGTAAGGAGAGGTATGTAGGGAGAGAGAGGGGGGGGGGGAGACAAAGACAGAGCGAGAGATATGGACGCAGAAATGGATTGAGAGGTGGACGGATAGATCGACAGACCGTGACAGAGTCATGAAACGTTGACAAGCGGGAGACAGTAGTGGAAGAAGCATCAACACAGGAGACAGGGGGAGACAGTAGTGGAAGAAGCATCAACACAGGAGACAGGGCGGGTGCAATACCGTACCGGCCAGCAGAACAAGCAACTGAAAATACCAGGCTCAGGCTGAATTCCCCAAGCAGGTTGGAATAGGGTTGAGTGTGGCACTCGCAGCTTCATTCACACTCTCTTTGTTTTCGAAAAATCTCCGCCCCACGTTTGCCTACAACCGCATGTTTCAACGAGCTGCTGGCCGCTGTATACGGGAGATCACCAACACCCGACACGCCACGTGTGTGCATACCGTAGGTGGCACAAGACATCACACCCCCTGGACCGATTTTCGACGCTCGCTCACTCCGCGACGAAGATGACGCAAAATGAAGCGATACGACTTCGGAAAGATCTCGACGAGACGCTTCCAACGTTACCATTTTCGGCACCGCCACTGCTTCTGCAAGATCGGCCCAGGGGGTGTGCTATCTTGCGTCACATCACCTACGGTAAACCTTGAGGGCGACGAACACAAAAAAACGTGAAACAAAAGAAGGCACCTATGCATGCAATGATATAACCTTGCTGCGCTGGGTACTACTTTACCTGCTCAGAGTCGAGGTAGGCGGAGGGCTCGTCGATGAGGTAGATGTCGGCCGGCTTCCCGAGCGAGAGCGCAATGGCCACGCGCTGCAGCTCACCCCCCGACAGGTTCTGGACCTCGTTGTCGATTATGTCGCTGATGCTCAGAGGCTTCATCACGTCCGTCACGAACTGCACAGGGCGACGTGATCATTTTAGACGAAAGTTTTTTTTACAAAGGGGTGTGCGTGAGTCAAGTCTATTTGAGGAAGAGAAGGTGGGTGGGACTACTGGACCAGAACTTGAACGGCAAAGGGGGGCTCTGTGCGGGAAACACGTTCAGCCCCCGCCCAGTCCAGGATCAGGATTTATGTGCAATTCCCCTAGGCATTTCACAGAACACGTCGGCTAGCTCATGACAGCGGAAATTCGTCGGTTCGACCTGAGAACCTGGACGAAAGGAAGTACTGGAAGACACATATCAAGGCGACTTATCATGCGCAGTGGTAACAACCACAACGACAACAACAACGACAACAACCTGTTTTTGATGTCCGTGGCTCAAACGAAAACACCTCGCAGAGAAAATGGCGGTTAAGGGGGGGAGGGGGGGGGAGACATAGACACGGTACCCCCCTCGGCCCTCGCAGTCTCCTAGGGAAAACACGCCTCACTACATATGGCCGCGAGCGAATCCGTCGTGTGCATCTATTTATCTACCTGCGGGTGGATGTAGGCGTCTCGGATGCGCTTGTGCAGCAGTTGCCTCACGGTGCCCTCGAAGCGCGGGCTGATCTTCTGCGGCTTGTAGGACACGTTCAGGTTCGGCGCGCCCAGCTGATACAGCAACCGTCCACACGTCGCGGGCAAGTCGAAGACAAAAAAGTCAAACCGCAGTCAATCATTTCAGTGGCGGGATAGCAGCGCGGCGGTGCGGGTGCAGTGTTGAGAGTCGTCAGTCACAGCCAAGCCTTTCCGGCGCGGTCACAACAGCAGTGGCATTGATGAAATGATGGAGCCAGGACTGGGGAGCGAACACCGAGCGTGTGGGGGGCGAGTCGTGCATCCACAATCGGACACGAGCGCATCTGAGAGCAGCCCCAAAGTAATTGGTACAGCAGTAGAGACTGTTAGATTAGCTTCAACAGCAGTGGTACAGTTGTTCGCCCCTGCACGAATCAACGGGAGCGGCGAATGTGTCGTGAGACTACACGTTCTTGAATCTTGCGAAGGGATCGGAGGCGCCAATTGCGAGCCAGAACTAGGGCTGGCAAGAAAGGCTGGGGTGGTAACGGCAACGTGCATCATCATTTCCACGTCTTTCTTCTCTCCAGAGTAGGTACTATACACAGCCCGCTGCGGCAGGTTCCACCACGAATCAGAAACAAGAAAAAACTAACAGGAATTACAAAAATAAACATGCATGGCCAGCCGGTCGCCGCGGCAGTCTGGTTGGCATCCTCGAAGACCTTGTAGTGGCCAGGATCAGGGGTTCGAATCCAGGCGAAAGCGAGCATTTTCGTGCAAACTGAGGTTTTCTCTCGCTTCCGTTCCTGGCCTGGGTGGAAAGCGCCAGGTCATGTGTTCGGAGGGAAGAGAGTGCTACACTGTTCTCGCATTAAAAATCGAAGGCAAAGTACCGCAGGTGGGTGGATAGGGGGCCTCAGGGAGAGGAACCCTTCTGTGTGACCACGGGTTTGAGTAGACGGCACAAGTGCTGTGAGCGCTGATTTGAAGTGAAGACAAAAAGAGAAAAAATAAAGAATCGTAAATCTCACCGAATCCGCCAGCTCCTGGTCTCCGGCTGCCTCCGCTTCCATCTGTTCGTCGCTCTTCAACAGTCCCGCAAGCATGCGGATGAACGTTGTCTTGCCGGTACCGTTCTCACCTGTCACGGCAAAGGTGCGGTGCTAGGTTGTTGCTGCTGTTGCCTTGGTTGGTGGTATATTTTGTTGTGGTTTCTTCGTGGTTGTTGCTGGGTGACGTTGTTGTTGTTGGTGTTGTCAATGTTGTCCGTAGATTTGAGTTCTGTAGGATGGACTATCGTCCTGACGTCTCGGCATCACCAGCATGCACTCAACGCTGATTTTCTGTAAGCAACACAGGCGACCAATCACGCGCTCAACACACGTGGGCGAAAACACCCTCACGTGCAACATATATGAGTACAACTGGGAGTTACAGAACCAAAACATTGAACAAAATATGACGACCAACATTGTGCGAACACAGTTAAAGGTTTCCTCGCACACCCTTTGACTTTCTGTGGTATCATCTGAACGGTAAGTCTCTGTTTATTGTATGTACATAACTTTCTAAAAAGACACAAGGAAAGACGTATGCTACACCGCGAAAGACGGAACCTCGACAGCAACCAACGTGCACTTACCGAGCAAAACCAGGATCTCCGAGTCCGCGAACTGCCCTTCCTCGACGTGCAGCTTGAACTGCTTGCCGGTCTTGGAACGCATGGTCTTGGTCATGCTCGGGTAGGTGTAGATGAGGTTCGTGTTGCCGTTGGCGAGCACCTCTTCCGCTGACATCGTCATCTATTCGCGTTTTGGAGCGAAAGGTATGGAGGGGGGGGGGGGTAAAAGCAGTCAGACAGGAACAAGGCAAAGAACGTGGAAGAAAGACTAGGGAGAGGGGCAGAGACACGGGCCGAACACAAACACATTTTCAGCCGGAGGAGGGACCACTGCTGTGTTGTATCAAGAACGACCGTGTAACAAAAGCGCCTCATACATAGGTGAAGCAGGGTGTACGTTTGACGTGTATCATCGGTGAGGACTAAGGCCGTCTGTAGAAATTCTCAAGCTTTAGCTTCAGTCTCATCGTTCGATATCCGTGGAAGTTTCATTCGCATGCCCCACCCCTTGCCCGACCGGGTCTAAAATACTGATCTCGAGCTACAGCAGTGCAAATCTCGTGGCGCCTCGAGTATGGTTCGGTGTGGAATCGCAAATCATGAGCCGTCCCCGAGTTTGGGCAGCTTCCGCCTACTGTGGCCGGCAAGAGTCGGCCTTGACTGTTCCTTGCCTGTTTCGCCATGGAAGCGGCCGGTTGAACAGCGAAAGAGGGTCCTGCATGCTTCGCGCCACATCCTTTTTTGTTTGCGTTTGTTCTTGAGTGACCATTGTACACATGCGGCTGCTGCTGCGGTTGCTGCTGTTATGCTCGGAATGTGCTGCAATGGTCGTGAGGTTATCGTAGTCAGGTTTGACAACAGTCTGCTCGTTCGTGTAGCGGTAGAGCGGTGCGCATCTATCGCGACGGCAAGCGCGTTGAGATACTTGTTCGTCCGTCGTGCTTCTAGTCTACACAGACAGATAGTCGTCTTCTTCTTTGTTGACTTCATAGCAGAAAAGAAAGCCTCCACCAACTTATCTCCACAGCAGTTAGTTCGGAAACAACGACTATTTTTCTATTGTCGTGTTTGTTGTTGCTGAGCGCAAATCGGATGTCGCCGTTCGTTACACGTGTTCAAGCCTGCGGTGGGCCAGAGGGATGAGAGTGAGTGTCTTCTCGAGAGTTCATGCCTTGTCTTCTCGAGTCTCTATTATTCCTTTAGTCTACCTCTCTCTCTTTCTCTCTGTCGCATTTTCGCCGGTTAGGGTCCCAGTAACATCGAACGTCAATGGCAATCGTTTCGCATCTTGCTGAGTAGGAGGCTATCCGTGTACCCGGCTGCTGCATGTGCGGCCGTGGGCGCCGCCTCTTTCCGTCAAGCAATGCGCATGGCCCCCACGCTTCGCCGCACATGCAGTGCTATGCGACAGCTTCCAGCGGTTCAGATCGGCGACGGTGTTTTTTCGCCGGTGGGGCCCAGAACAACGCGAACCGCGACTGTTTCATTGTTTTGGGGCCCCCCACTCACCCACCCATGAATTTCAGCAGTTTTCGTTGGGGCGTGTTTTTCTTGTCATCATGTCCATGATGTGGGGCCCCGAGCGAGTATGGTTCGGTAGGGAATCGCAAACCATGACCCCTCCCCGAGTTTGAGCATCAGCTTCGGCCTCCTGTGAAGGACAAGAAGACCGGAAATTGTCTCGCCATCCAAACAACAGTTGGCCAGCTGAAAAAAAGAGGTTCCGGTCCGCCGAAGATTTCGATCTTTGTGTTTCCTTGCCGACTAATATTGTAGGCTACAGCAGTGCAAATCTCACGGCGCCTAAAGTACGGTTCCGTAGGGAATTGCAAATCACGACCCCTGCCCGACTTTGGGTAGCTTCCACCTCCTGCGGCGGATAAGACCGACGTCAAACCCTAGATTTTGTTTGTCTCTGTCGCCATGGCGCCATCCACGAACAGCAGTTGGAGAGCCACAAAGAGGGCCCGCTTCGTTACCAAGAAAACAGGTTTTTTTTTCGATTCTTCTACAGGTGGATATGATGCTACCATGTATCGGGTATAGCTGTGGTTGAGCTTGAGGGATAGGGTCTACGGCAGGATATTCTATGCGAGGAGTTAACGCCTTCCTCGCGTAACGATGCGCATCTCCCACGGCAAGCAGAATGAAGTACGTCATCATGATGTTCTTTCTTGTGACTACAAGTTCAAGTTCTCCCGGGCGTTATTGTTCTTGCCGAGAGAAAGAGATTAAACTTCTACTATACTACGTACCAGGCCGTGTAGTACCCGGCTACTGCATGTGAGGTAGTGGGTGCTGCCCCTGCTGTTTGCTGCGGTACATGGAAAGATTCCGGTGGGTCAGAGCGGCAAGGGGGCCTAGTTTCTTCACTTGTTTCTTAGCTCTGTTCTCCTCTACTTCTGTGTTTCCTGTCGCTGGCGGTCTCTCTTTTTTTATCGCCCTTCGTTCTTGCTTGCAATAAACTGTGACGATGTGAACTGGCTGAGTCTGACTGTTTCTTAGGGTCCCCCGCTTACCAACAACCCACCTGTCGGTATGATTCGTGATCTCCAATATTTTCAGCAGTAGTTGTCTGCTACAGGACATGCGCTACTTCTGCTGCGTCCATGGGTGGGTGCAACAGAAGAGCCCCGGGGACTGGTGGCCTTCTGACCTGATCGCAGAGAGAGGTTCCTGCCACTACCACAACACGACTCTTTATTAAATGTCCATGACGGGGAACGAACGCGTACTACGCCTCTTCTCTTTTCTTTTTTCCCTCTCTCCCGTCCGGTTCTTTCGTTTCGGAGAGAAAACCTAATGTGAAAAGCGCATCTTCTGGGGTCCGCATTCATTTTTGTCCCGGATTTTTCTTTCCCAGCGTGCGGAAGTGCGCGTTTGGGTGTGGTCTCCTTTCCATCCGGGTGTGTTCGTGCGTACACTACAGTACATGTACGTAAACGAAAGAAACAGATCAGCGAGAAGGTTTGCGGCATTCTCGAAAGCATGGAGTCCCTCGCCACAAAAAACAAAAAAGTGCATCATGCGCATGGATGGGCGTAGTGACAAGTGCCGGTCGAAGACGGACGACGGTTTTTTCGGGTGCGCGTGAGGTCGACTCTAATATTCTTTCGTTTTTTTTGCTTTTTTGTTCAGTCTGTGGCTACTACCTCGCATAGCGTATTGAGGCGAGCGGAGGGTCCTAGACTAATCTGTCGTTGACTTGCGGACCCTTCTTCGGGTCCATTTTATTTTCGTACAACTTTTTTTGGGTAAGTTAGCCTGTGACCACGGCGGGAATCGACCGCGTCAAGTGTAAGACTATCATACACAGTAGTACGGACAGACGAAGAAGGTATTGGGTAGAGAGAACAGAACGACGGTTTGGTAATTAATTGTGAAGACAACAACAACGAACTGACTGCTGGGTTCGTCCATGGATAGTTTTTGCAGTACTTATGTATTAGTGTATAAAACGACTTCTTCATGGATGGGTAAGGAAAGGTTTCAATTCAACTACTACAGTAACTTACTGGAGTATGGAGGGTGCTCCTTATTCTTATGCATGTACATGCAGTAGGTGACATAATATATCGCATCATCAATATTCACAGTTAATAATGTTAGTCCACGACGACGAGGATGTCAAACGATAGGTTTGTATCGGAAAGCTGTCGGTGCCAACGCCGCCCGGCCACGCCACGTTTTCTGCTGTGGAGTAATCGAGCTTTGAAAATTAAAAATTGTTCAGGGGGTGTGATATCTTACGTCATCTACTCTGTGTACAGAACTCTTTGTCGTGCTCGGTGGGTGAGCGTGCCGCGGTGTGCGCCCTCGACTTTATTAACCGCTAAACAACTGAATGGCTTCAGACAGACAACGCGACGATACTCGTCGAGGTGCTATCACAATCAAATGACACCAAAAGGCGAGACAATCAAACCACAACGGCAATAACAGTGACAACGACTACCACCACGATGATGGCAATAACGACGATAACAACAACAACAACAACAGTACCTTGAAGTCCAGGGTGACGTCGCGGAACCTAAGGTTCTCGGTGGGCACGAACCCGGCGAGGAAGATGTTGATCCCCTCGCGCACGCTGAAAGGCATGGTCACCACCCCGTACGCGGAGGGGGTTCCGTAGAGGCAGCAGATGAAGTCCGACAGGTAGTCCAGGACAGCGAGATCGTGCTCCACCACCAGGACGTAACGCTTGGCTGTTTCATTTCGATTTTGATGGAGAGGGGGGGGGTGGGGGGGGGGGTACGTAGCGTGTGGCGGGGTGGGGTGTCAGTGGAGCATGAGAGAGAGTAGTGGGGGAAGAGAGAGGGCACAAAGCAAGGGACAAACTACATGTCTGAGCGATGATGTGCGTGATAATTTCCCCAGCCTCGACTGTCAAAGCTGTCCTCAACATCTTCGGCCGTGAATCAAATCATCTTCCGTCCTGGTTGTCGCCACAACTTGTCAGCACGTGGAAGAAGCTCTGTCGGGCACCAATCAGCGAAAGGCGCTAAAAAATGCCACCTTGATGAGGTGGTATTATACCACAACGGTGTTGCGCAAGCATTGGAGGAGGCGTTTCTCTGAAACTCTCAAGCGTTTCGTCGGTGGCGCTCGTCCAAAACCAAAACCAATCAAGCGGTAGTATAGTAGGTCAGTTGCCAACCATGCCAACACCCTCTTGTCCGCGTCAAGTTTCCTGGATCATGGCCGCCGGCTTTTCCTGCATCCCTTCGATCGCACCCTTTGCGTAGAACCCTCCGACTCATCACCACGACCAGCGAAAGATCAGGACTCGCTCGCTCACCCACCCGTACACTCTGTGCCCATACACTCATTCATCGCCACCAATTTCTTCATTCGCGCCACGAAAAAAACAGAAAACTGTAGGGAAAACACCCAACACTCGTTGTTTTTCACTCGTTGTTTTTCGTGCTCGAGAACGACAGAAAAGCAAAACCTTCCGTTCACGGTGTGCACCAGCAAGCCATACTCGTCTCCGGCAACATGCACACCATACCCTTCTCAAGAGCCGTAGGGGAAACATCAATCAGCCAATCAGCGCTCTCTGCTCACCCCCGTCATCCCCGGAGAGGATATTCCGGATCGTAGCCGCGGCCTTAAGCCTCTGCTTCACGTCCAGGTAGGACGACGGTTCGTCGAACATGTACACGTCCGCCTGAAAAAACAAAACAAGTGGAGAAAAAAATACCAAGTGAACAAAAAGATTTGGAAGAAACGGTTCTCATTCTTTAGTGAAGAAAAGCAAGAAAAGAAGCCAACCACATACACAAACATCCAGACAAGGGAAAATGTAAGAGCACCGCGGAAATGTATTCTTCAGTACACTGTTCGACAAGCTGGAACTATTCACGCCGAAACTGTTGTTGCTATTCTGTCAACAAATAGCGGTGACATACCATGTTGTACGGAGCTGCTGTGGACGTGCTCTACATAGCGGCCACAAGAATGTTTACTTCAGCAATCATTATTTTCCCTTGTTGTGTGCCGTCATCATCGCCATCTGCCCGATCAAGGGTTGATGCTCAATTGCTCTACATGGCCCTCCATCCAAAATGACTTGGGAAAGGGATGGGTACAGCAAACATCGTCATTTCGGCCTAGATTTCCAACACGCCAACAAGCTGCCTTCGAAACAGGCAGCGAGATTCAGTATCCTAACCATAGAGCCACATCGCTGCGTAGATTGCTCTCCGTTGCCCCACTCGAGAACCACAACAAGAGTCCTAACAGCGTCGATCTCCTCCCCCCAACAAGTTCCGTATATCTGGCCTTGTTCCGCAATCACGCCGTGAAATATTATGGTGAACCCGGAAGCCTTACCGCAAACAATGCTTGGGGTTACGTCGAGGACGCAGCTGGCCCCAACAACATACGGAAAACTCCGGAAAAAGACAACTCCCGGCAGTCGACCCAAGGAGATCAATCCGTGCGAGGGCAGAGACAAAAGAGTAGCCGTTAGCAACAAGGGTCATCTACGTTCCGGGCTTTCTCCACCACATCTGCGTAGATACTGTACAACCTTTCCTACATACCTTCTGAACCGCCACAACGCCAATGGCGAACCGCTGCAGCTCTCCTCCAGACAGCACTCCCACATCACGGTCCAACACGTGCGTTAGGTCCATCTGCCATTGATTACATCGACGCCCGGCGAGCGGTGGGGAGGGGGGGGGGGTCAGTGGATTGGGGGGGCGGGGGCGGGGGTTATTCATGTTTTGTAGGCCTTAGTTGTTAGACCATTGACCACGCGTCCTCGAGAGGATGGAGCACACTTTGCCAAAGGTGGCTCGAAATCGTTTTCCTTATCCTATCCACGTATCGGCGGGGTGAGGTGAGGGATTCTTGTGGCGTCATACCTCAACAATCGGGGAATCCGCGTGAAACTCCAACGCAGGCGCGAGCAGGGGAATACCCATGAAAAGGGAACACGAACATGCATGCTCTCGTGACCAATACCCATGGCTTCTTTAAGGCTCAAGATGGTACCACGGCTAGTGCAAGAGTGGGATGTACGTGGTTGGCGCGCCGATACCGTAGAGAGAGAGGGCACAGCACGTGAACGTTTCATGGTTCTTGCTACGGTGAGACGGACGCCTTTTCATTGGTCCGGTGGTTGGCACGGCGGACGTCACTAAAATCAACACCAAAACTACGCGCACACGTGTAAAAGCTTCGTCACACAACGGCAGTGGTCCAGTTGGTTAACTCGTACACTCCAGGTCGTGGGTTCGAATATCTCCAGAGGGTGAAAAAAACTCGAAAGTCTAGACGTGAAAAGCACGAACTGGTCGTATCAATCCCTACAACCAAGAGGGACCACTGCATCCATCCTTCTCGCTTCGAAGAGAAGCACGGCACGAGGAAATGATGGCAAAACAAGAGAAAAAAATTCCCGCGTTCCGCCTTCTTTCTCCCCCGGCGGGTACGTCAAACACGGCATACCGACAGGCGCAGACAGGCAACCACAAACAAAAGAGACGGGAAGAAACACACAGAGCACGTCACCAGCACCTCTTCTAGGACCCGATCCATGGTGCCGAGCTGGTTCTTGGAGGTGAATATCTCGCCGACCTTCCCCTTCACCGCCTTCGGGATGTGGTCCACGTACTGCGGCTTGATGATGGCCTTGAGGTTGTCCTCGAGGATCCTTGTGAAGTAGTTCTGCAGCTCGGACCCCCGGAAGTGCTGGAGGATCTCCTGCCAGTCCGGAGGGCTCTCGAACCGACCAAGGTTGGGCTTCAGCTTTCCCGCCAGGATCTTGAGAGCCGTTGACTTGCCGATACCGTTGGTCCCCACGAGGCCAAGGACCTGCCCACGTCGTGGTTGTGTGTTGTTGCAGGCAGGGGGCACCAATATGCTTCTATGTGTACTGCCAAAAACCAAAAACCAATAAATACTGCCAAAACCAAAAACCAACAACCAATGATAAATAAAAAAAACTCACACATACACATTATTGGGCTCTGTTGCACATGCGTTCTGAATGAGCGAAACTATAGATGGATGGGGGCCAAAGCATCACGCCAGACTATGCGCAAGGTTTGGGAAACAAGATAAAAAAATGAGCCCCTTTCGCTAACAAAGACGTACGTAAAGAAAACGTAGGGGGGGGCGTTGCGTCTTGCGTGGCAGGTTTCGTAGGGGGTGGGGGGGGAACAATAACAAGCAGACTATACTTTTTGGTCGCCTCGTTATTGCATGCAGCTGTCGCGCTGCGCTCCAACTGGAGAGAGCCTGCGAGCAACACTTGTCAAGACACACACACATCCGCAAGCACACGCCTACATACACAAGATACACCATGAAAACAAAATACCTACAAACCGCATGGTTGGTTTCTCTCCGAGAGTTGCCCGAACGCCGCAATTTCAGGTGGGTTTTGCACAAGAACCACACACCCGTGGCGGCGTTCTGCGCACGCGCGGCCGTCACACCTGTCCGGGTCTCGGCATCGGAAGCCTGTGAAGCTTGAAGCTGTTGGGGCCGTACCGGTGCGTCGTCTGCGACTCCAGGTTCTTGGGCAGATTGATGATGGAGATGGCCGCGAAGGGGCACTGTTTTCGCCACACGACGCGGAAAAACAAGCAGCGAATTCACACGCAAGCGTGTCGTGCACATGACCCCGTGAGTCAGGAAAAGCGGGTGGACGCACGACGCAATTGTACGTCGTGTGCAAACCCGACCTAGACGGCTTTTAAGGCGCGACCCGCCCATGTTGTCTTCATCCAAAATCATGATGAAATGCCTCAAAAGGCGCTATTATATAATAGGATTGATAACCTTCTCACCTTCATTTTACTTTGGCTCGAGCTTAGGTAATGCGGAGATGCATTACTTCAATTGTTGTGCTATGCAACCTTACCCTTCCACCGACAACTTGTACGATCCATAACCGCTTCCATGGCTCACAGATGCATGCACATCACATCTTCTTCACACCTAGGGATACTATGCGACAGATGCACAGCAGCTGTCTTTCCCAGGGTGTCAAAAATTTAGATGTGATGCGCTTGCTCAACTCCACACCCAGCTTACACCTCCATGCCCACCTTGATGATAAATACATCAATCCGGGATTAACATAGAAATCGTTCATCGCAGCTCCACGTCTCGTCACCTTCTTGACGCAGATACCACAACCGATGCACAGCGACTCCGAGATGTAAACGATGGGGCTACTCTTCTCCACCTCCATGCACAGCTTCCCCATACGCACAACCGGGCATGACTTCTTGCACTCCTGTCAACGAGCGGCGGCGGGAAGAAACGGAGATCAGCGATGGCATGGAGGATACATCGGCATCGTCGTCATTGTTTCCGTTGTCCAACAGACAAAGGTGAAACGGCAAAAGGGTGTCGAAAAGATCGTCTGTGGGGGACACGATCGCGGCCTTGGAGGGGAAACAGCACAGGTCAGAGATGCGGGATTCAACCAATCGCGTCCCTCGTGGGGATATGCATTAAAGAGCCGTCCTTCAAACAAAGAGCTCGACGCCGTGGCTGCTGTTTATCCAAGAATACCCCTTTTGGTATAAGAAAAAAACAGAAAATTCTTCCTGCCGTAAGAGCCTCCGCAAAGTACAAACCAAGACCATGTTCAAGAAACCTAAATATGGTTACACCTACATATGACGCGATGTTGCCGCCGTTAGCCTATTGTACAACAGCAGGTTTTGGTTGTGCTGCGTGCCGATAAGTGACCTACATACGGCAAGCTGCATCGATCGACTTGTCCAGATCAGCATCTCATCTAGAGGCAGAGTGTCAGAAATGCCAATCACAGTGGCTTTGGAAAGCTCTCGGCGATATCTTACCAAACACGTTTGTTTGCCGCTCGATGCTCATGCTCTCTTTTCGCCGCCAAAATACACGCACGGTGAATCGGCCCACAGCGGGGCGGGAGAGATACACACAACGTCCCTATTGGGGACTGCCTAATAACAAAAAGGACCAGGCAAGGGGCACGCAGACCCAAACCCAACCCCAGTTTAGTCGATTCTAACTTACCCAATACCATGTTACCTTGAATACCCTGCGTAGACAACTGCTATTGGGAAGTACTTTACAGCAGCATCACGCCGCCGTATCGCGCCGCCGTCGGAATGAGTGCGACCATGCATATGTGTACCTGCTTGCACTTCTTGGGCTTGCATTTGTCTTTGTTGACGATGGCTATCCGCGTCAGGTCGGCCGACTCATCCTTGCGCGGCATGGCGTTACTATGACAGGAGAGCGAGAGACAGACAGACAGACAGACAAGCATGCAGGAGCGGACCGCAACACTGAAATCAAGAGGTGTCAAGCGTATCGACTAATGAAGCAATGTACACAGCCATTTCCAATATGCACAGACCAAATGCGAATTCGTGACAATGCGTGCTATCAGTGGGCTAACGCCACTACACAACAGCACTCGAACCAGCACCGCGGCTTTTGGCTCAATGATGGTCTCAAGCATCATGCCTCATATGCCTCATACGGCGGCGCATGGTGGTTTCATCGATCACGCACCATCAAGACTTGGTCTACACCCCGACATACAAAAGGACATCTATCAACGAAAATAAAATCGAACACTGGAGGATCCGACAACTTGTCCGGTCTACCGACTATGTGGAACAGTGCTCGTCTCGCGCTTGTTGGGTCGTCGGGAAATCGACCCACAGCTGTGCTACTGCAGGGCGAACAACTAGACATCGTATTTGTAATAAGAAGTGAGAGTGCAATCATGCCGCGTGAGATGCGCACCAACAAGCTTGAGCACACGAGCGAAGAGCAAATCCTCCATGGGTGCGAAATAAAGCTCATTGAACTGAAACGGAGCCTCATTCCCATGCGTTCCCCAGCAGGGCGTGGGGGTAGACTTCCCGTACGGAGTGCCATAGGCGGACGCATGCGAGCAACACACAGGCCCTACGAACCATTAGCTTTAGTTCGGAGGTGGTGCTTACTACGTTGCAAGACACAGTCCACTGCACGCACTCAACACCCGACTGGGTTTCACGCTAACCTCACTCGCAAGACTAACAACAGCAGTCTGTATCACCTGGTTTTGCGCTCTCTCGCGCAGTAACAGCAGAAGCCGGTGTTGCCGGTAGCCTCAGTTGTTGTTGTTTCCGACAAGGATCTCCGCGGACGGGAATATTCATCGCCGGAGTGCACACTGCGAGGAGGCGTCGCCTAGGAGGGGACGCTGTTCACAGTTTTTTCACTAAATTTTAGAGAAGACACCAAGATGCCACAAACGTGTTGTTGTTGGCGTCCTCATCAGCAGCAGCCTGAACCTCCCTCCTGTTTGAGGCGATTCACCCACCGGGGCACGATGGCAGAAGATAATATTGCTGCAAAAGCTTCTGCCTCAGAGGAGGCGCCGCCTCCGAAGATTCTGCTGCGGCGGCCAGGAACGCTCGAGCTCTTTGGAGGGCCGTCCAAAGAGGACGGCGCGGACAGGCCGGCTGACCTACGGATAGAGGGAGACGGCTTCCCCGAGGTGGATGCTTCCTCCACGGAGTGGTCAAAGTGAGTGCCCGGTTTGCTTCAGCGGGGGGGGGGGAGGGTTTCTTTGCTGTTGCAGCCAGTGTTTTGGCAAGAAAGAGGTGTGATTTTGCTGTCAGCGGCAAACATGCCGCTTTTATCGGTGTTCCGCCGTCGGCTGTACCGGGACCTACGCCAAACCCTGCTGTCAAAGTACACGTGAAGACCATGGTGTTCACTGCTGCACCGCTAGTCTTCCAGGCCAAAGAAGACGTACACGTACTTGCCCTTCACCGCAACTGCCCATGAAAGCCAACTTTTTTTTAACGCGCGTGAACCTTGAACCCCATCCCTTGCTCCGCTCTCCGGTCGACTACTTAGTCTCGCGCAAGGTGTCTCTCAAACGCGTAGGCACTCCGCCCGGGGTGCATGTGTATTGTGTGCACTTCCTCCCCTGCCAATGGTGTATTCACGGCTGCGCCGATTTCCGTCCCGCTATCGTCATGGCCTTGTTGCAGAGACGGGCGCTTCTTGGCGGCGGTGTGCTCTACCGGAGTCCAGGTCGTCGATATGACAACCAAAACTGTGGTGAGAGGGACATGTTCCGTGGGGATGGTGATGGTGGTGGTATCGGTGTTTGTGTCGGTGCCATAATAGATGCTGTTTGCCTGTGCCCCCCACGATGTTTCTTCTAAAAAAGTGGTCTCGAGGGAGGTTTTGTGGGGGTTCGTCGGCGTTGCTGAGTTTGAAGTTGGACGGTTACCGTAAGGGTGCGATGTCACTGGATGCGCTTGTTACATTTGCCTGTACGCTTTGCCTGTTGCAGTCAAAGAACAGGAGCAGGGTGGTCTACGGAACTCAGGCCCTCTGTGCCGTTCAGTATCCTCACATAAAGCCCCGTCATAAGCTGCACCAAGAAGCTAGTGTACGTAATTAAAGTGATACGCGGTTCATGTGACGGACACTGAGGGCTTCTGCTCAAGTCGAACGAAATTGATTCGCCTGAACATCACGACGGCAACCAACTCCAAATGCACCGCGAACCCATGCAGGTGGCAAGCGTTGATGCTCCCGGCGCGCGAGCCGTCCACTTCTCTCCCCTGGGGACGTACCTGTTGACATGGCAGCCGCCGAGCAAATCGGTGGACGGGGAACGGCCGCCGGGAAACCTGGTAGTGTGGAGCACGGCGTCGTGGTCGGAGGAACTCAGGTGTGTGAAATATTTTGCTGCCGCTGCTGTTTTTTTTTTTTTTTGTGGATTTTCCGCTGTGTTGCGTGCGTGTGCGTTTAACCAATTATTTTTTTTTGGTGGGTTTTCCCCGTCCTGCGTATTGCGTGTTCGTCGTGAATTGGCGTCGTCAGTGTCTTGATTGCCCGTGCCTTACCTTCTGTGCGTGTGTATCTTGGGTTGGCATCGGTGTCTTGATTGATTCCTTTGTGTTGCCTTTCAGGCGTGTGTATGCCCCCCCCCCTCCACCCCCCACTGAACCTCGTGCGCACGCACCGCCCTGCCTAGATATTTCTACGTTTTTTTGTGCTTGCTTGCGCGGCAATGCTGTTGGTGCTACGATAGGAGCGCTTGGTCTACTAGCATTAGTATCTGCGTCAAGAACGGCTCCCAAGCACCTTGAGTCAATCCTAGGCCGGCTTATGTTTGCATGGCTTTTCGTTCCAAAACACATGAAGTAAGGCGCCCCTCTCGTTGCTCCTGCCGCCACTTTGTATCCTGCACTCTTGTTTCGGCCTCAAGCCCAGCCTACGAATCTCGCCGTCGTATATATGTATGCCGTTGGTTCATCTCTTCTTGCCGCTTATGCCGTTGTTGATTGTGTGAATGCGTAGGGTGTCCCAGAAACAGCTGCGCAGGTCGGCGTGGCCCAGCCTCCAATGGAGCAGCGACGAGGTCATCGCCGCAAGAGGGCTGGACAACGACATCCAGGCGAGGGGCTCGCTGCCGATAATCCCTGACTGAATGTGCCGCTGTGTGTGAAGCTCTCCTCTACCTTGCCCAAACAGCCATCCTCGTTTTTAGATGTTTTTGATGCAAGCTATCCCTGCCAGCAATGGCTGACTGAATGCGCCTTTCGAAAGTGTGTGAAAGCAGCCCGCCGCTACCATGTCCCAATAGCCATCCTCGCGTTGATGTTTTTGGCGCCGTGTTTTTAACAGATCTACCACGGACAGCACTTCGACCAGGGCGTCGTGGCCCGAGTCCCCTGCCCCAAGCTCGCCGGCTTCAGCCTCGCACCGGGGACGGCTCCGTACAGGTCAGACATCTTGTACATACGGCCGCTGTTGGCACGTCGCAGCTGCTCACCGCCCTTGGCTCAGCTCGGTTGCAAACGATTGCGCGTGTCGACACTTGGGAAGAAAACACGTTGCGAGGTTAAAACGCAAAACTCATGCCAAGCCTGTTTTATCCTGTCGGAAACAAGTTGACGTGCTTCTGCGTGATGCTGTTGGCGTGCGCAAAGGAGGCTCCCACGGATTTCAGTTCACGGCTGTGATCTGAGCCGCAATGCCGTTGACGTCGGTCCGCGACTTCTCAACGAGCTGACGATTTTTCTTCTTGCAAAACCCACCGCTCCATCGGTCCGTTTTCCCCATATGACAGGCTAGCGACGTTCGTGCCCGAGCTGAAGGGCAAGCCGGGCAAGATCTCGCTATGGTCTTACCCGGTGTCGGACACGCCTATCGCCTCTAGGAGCTCCTTCCGCGCGCAGGTGATGAGGTCGGAGAGACGAGTTGATGGTGCTCGGACACATCTGTGGAAGCAGGAACTTTTTTACAAGCTGGCATGTGTTGGTGCACACAGCAGTAGATGGCTGTTTCGCTCTCTTTTCGGTTTCGGTCAAGTGAGTTCCCCTGCTGGGACCTTTGGGGTCGTGAAACTGAGCTTGGTGTTTGCGTGCTCCGCCCTCTCTGAGTACCCTCACCGAAATACAACCCCCAATCTCCCGATGACACAAACGTGCGCTCGCTCGAGCAGGAGGCGTCCTTCAAGTGGAGTCCCGACGGTCGAGCGGTGCTGTGCCTCACGAGCACCGACGTAGACGCGACGGGCAAGGTGCGCCTCGAACAACTCGCACGCCTACTACGACTTTCTTCATGTGAACAATATTATGTATCGGCGTAGGAAATGTGCGTGTGTGAACCACCACGTGGAACCATGGCGCTTCGCCGGTTTTGGTTGAGTATTCCGCGCCATGCACGTTGGTGCAAACGACTAAACTGCTATTTCTGGTTGAGTTTTCCGCGCAATGCACGTTGGCGCGAACAGTTAGACCGCGCATCCATCTGGTTGACTATTCCGTTCAATGCCCGTACTCTTGAAACTGTACTCATGCCCCTCCCCCCCTCTCTCTCCAACTTGACAGTCATACTACGGGTCTACGGGCCTGTTTCTCATGCACGCCGACGGGCAGTTCGACTGCGCGATCGCCCCCGCCAAGGAGGGGACTGTGCAGGACGTCCAATGGGGGCCCGGCGGATCGAACAAGGGCAACAAGTTCGTGGTCATCGCGGGGAGCATGCCTTCCACGTCCACGCTCTACAACATCAAGGTGCGCGGTGGTGGTGTTCTGGAACGACGCGTGTGTGTGTTAGCATCGACCGCGCTAGCCGGCTGACCAACGAAAATAATTCAGTCTTTTGTAGCGGGATAAAAGGTGAGTACTTTGATGTCTTGGTTCATGTTGTCGTGCATTCTTGCCTGTTGTGTGTATCGTGCTAGAGATGATGGTTTTTCTTGTTTCGAGTGTGTGTGTGGTGATGCGTTGTGTGGATTGGAGAGGTTTAGCCCTGGCACCCGCGCATCCAGGCATTGGAAGAAGAGCTACCCCTTGAAATGAGTATCTTCGTGTCGTCTGTCTGCCTGTCTTTGCGTCTGTCTTTCTTTGCCTCAACCCCCCCGCTCTCATCGCTCTGGGTCCCGGCATTGTAGGGATGCGAGATCAACGGTCTAACGACTTCCGCATGTGTGTACATGAGTTCACCTCGCTCTTCCACCTGTTACCGTTTCTCTTGCTACCTTTGTCATCAGGGGGAGCCAACGTTCGAGTTCGGTAGTGCACACCGCAACACTATCAGCTGGAGCCCGCACGGCCGCTTTCTCTTGCTGGCAGGTGACGAGTGCTGTTGTACGCGGTTGGTTTCCTGTAGGGCACCGCATGTATGATGTGATGTCGGTCAAAGCTTCATTTTCTAGCCTTGGCGACTATTCAAGCTGCATCCGGTGGGTGGCCTGCCTCTTCGCGACAATGATGTACCACAATTGTAGCCCCCACAACAACCGTTAATAAACGCCCCCGTGAGACCCTCACCGTGCATCATTTGATTTGCGTCACTGCTAACGCGCACACGCCGTCGTGTAGCGCAAGCGCTCGCAAACACACTTCGCCGTGACTTCGTTTCAAGCCGTCGACTTCTGCCCCACCCCCCCCCCCGATCGGTCCTGTGGGAACAATGCTCCATCCTCTCGAGGACGCGTGGTCAATGGTCTAAAGGCATGCAAAACATAAGAGTACGCCCCCCCCCCCCCTTCGTTCGCAACCCCCGCGAGCGAACCGCTCGCATTCGCTTCCTAACCCTTTCTCTCCAAACCCCTCCGGTATCCACGCACTTGGGAAACGATCTCAACCCTTTCACTGCCGACCGACATGTGTTGTGTTGAAACGTTGGCAGTAGCCCCCCTTCTGCTCTGCCGCTCACCGGCGCTGGAGGCCTCAGACACCGTTCTTTTCACCTGCAATTCACGCACCTGAGGCGTATTTTTCTTGTTGTTGCTCCTCTTCTTGTTCGCGAGGAAAGGCCTGGGCAACTTGGCGGGCGAGATGGATTTCTGGGACGTGAACCGCAAGAAGGTCATGGGTTCCACTTCCAGCCACTGCGCGGTGGCCTACGGGTGGAGCCCGGACAGCCGCTGGTTCCTCACGGCAACGTGCGCCCCACGTATGAATGTGGACAACGATGTGAAGGTAGGCATGCGTGTGAGGGGAGGGGGGTGTACTCATAGTCGTGCATACCGTAGTCGTTGGACCATTGGCCTCGTATCCCTACAATACAAAGCCGGGACGGAGCACGCCGGCGGCGGGGGGGGGGGTGCTCTCTTTCATGTAAACACATGCCGTAGTCGTTGGACCGTTGACCTCGCATCCAATGCCTTGAGGGGGTGACATGCCGGATTTTCGCCGGCTCAGGCTACGTTTCACAAGCATGAACCAGAAGTTGGTCATCGTCCTTGCGTTTGAGGACGGGGGGGGCTGTCGTCGCCTCTCTTGGGTTTCCTAGAAAAGACTTTGGCGCAAGCTGGCTGTGGGGGTTTAGCGTAGTGTTGGCCTCGGGCCATATGGGTTTCTCGTGGAATGGTACCACAGGCGATCTGGGCTTTTTGGCATTGCTTCCTTGTTCTTTTTTTTTTTTTGTGGCTAGAGTCAGGAACGGGACAAGGTTAGTTATGTGCGGCGGCGTTTGCCCGGTGATGTTGTCTTGCATGGTCTGCGGTTCGCATGTTTGAGGTCGACTGGTGATGGGTAATGAATGAGGCAAGAGGAAAGTGGGTGTGTTAAGTTTCTGTCCGCGAATGTCTAAATTACGTCGACGGCGTTGCTTCATTCACAGTAATCTCGAGGGAGGGAGAAAGGAGGGACGGTCAAGTGGGGTACTGCAATAGTACTCAGTACTTTTATTCACCATAGAGAAGGATCGATTACTTTTAACAGTATCCAATTACCGTAAAAAACAGAGGGAAGAGAGTGCTGAACTCTTCTCGCGTTCAAAATCGTAGGCACAAAGTACCGCAGGAGGGGAGCATAGAGAGGGGCTCTTCTGTGTGACCACGGGTTGGAGTAAACGGCACTATAATAATGCTGTGAGCGCTGATTTGAAGTGAAGACAAAAAACAAAAAACAAAAAAAATGCCGTAAAACAAACATGCAGGTGTTCCGCTACGACGGTTCCGGTCCGGTAGTGAAGAAAGAGGTGGAGGTCCTCTGGGATGCGGTCTGGCAGCCGGCCGCGCAGGGGGTGTACCCGGACAGACCGGCTTCTCCCGGCCGTAAGGGTCCAACGGCAGCAGACGCCGCGGCTGGTGAGAAAAACAAACGACGAGGCGTTTCTACGATTTTGTTTTTGCGGAGGTGTTTGTCGGACAATGTGCGTACGTAACACGTTTTGGTCGGACGGCCGTGCAATTGCCGTCGGACGGCCGTACAATTACCGTTCCCGTGGAATTCCCGCGGGAAAAGTACCGCGGGAGAATTCCCGAGAGAAGCCTTGGAAAATACCTTTTTTTCTCCCAAGGTGTTCAAGTTTGAGCGGTATTGCCGTCACTGATGAACAACCATACAATGTTTTTTTTTGTGGAGAGATGCCGCAGGCCAAATTGTCGTTCGCGTCGTTTTTTTTGTTCCGGTCGAGGACCCACGTTGATTCAACCAGAGCACGTTATTCAAGTGCGAGCGATAGCTGTCACCGAAGGCATACATTCTTTGTGTGGGATTTTGGTGAAGATATGTATGCGGCACATCTGTTGTTGTTCGCTTTTTTTTTTTTGTTCAGGACGAGGACCCACGTTCGGGGAGAAGGCGGCTGTTTACCGCTCGCCGGGCTCTACCGGGTCACTGGCGGCCCTCATGAGGGCGGAGCGGGGTGTAGACAAGGCCGGGGCGGGTGGCAAGAAGGTGAGGTGCAATGCTCGATTCTCCTAGATGGCGGCCTTTTGGTGGTTGTTATTGTGTACGTGCGTTTTTGTTTCTGTTGGTTACTTCTCTCTCTCTCTCTCACTCTCTTTCTGTTTCTCTATCTGTCTGTCTTTCTGTCTGTCTCAGTAGTTGTCCCTTTCTCAGTTGTACTATCTTTCGGTCGTTGTCCGTCTCTGTCTCTCTTTCCCTTCTATCCCTCTCTCACTCGCTCTCTTTGGGCAATGCTCTTGTTGTCCGTCTTGTGCTTAGATCCCTCTTCCTTCAGCCGTGTCTCATGTCTGTTATATCTCTTGCCCGCTCATCAACGTGCCCAATGGCCAACTCATTGGCGGCTTTTACGATACCATCTGTTTTAGTTCAATCGCAACACGGAGAAGATCGGTAGTACCCTCTCCCGTCTCACCCCCGACTGCTGCAGTTGGACGTAGGAATCACGATGTGTCCACCACCGCCTATACGTGCACGTACATAGTGCTAATTCATGCAGGAACGACCCCGACGTTTTCGTTTCCGCACACACACACCTACCTGGTATGTCCGTGACCGGTTCTCTCAACCTTGCCCAATATTGAAAGACGTTTTCGTGCTTTTGCTCCGCGATTGGTGCCATCTTCTCGTTGTGTATTCGTGCACGCGCGGGCGCACGACACGACATGGCACGGCAACGCCAAAAAAAAACATAGGTCGGTCGCGTGGACGCGGCAAGGGCTAGCGGGACGTACATCCCGGGGATGGCACCACCGGAGGCGAACAAGCCCTCCAAGAATGCCAAGAAACAGGTACAATACCGCGTGTTTGGGTGCACATGCCGAGGAGCAGGAAACAGAAAAAGCGTTTGAGATCGTTGCGGTAAGGGTAAGGATTTGCTGTTCTCCGTGGAGGTGACGTTTGAGATGGGCGTGTCTCCCCCAACGCTCGTCGAGGATGGCCCCCGCTGTTCACGTGTCATGCTCTAGGAAGATTTATGGTGGCATTTGTTTCGCCTTCGGAAGTATTGATTCCAGTTTATTCTACCGTGACGTTGTGGGTGTTTGGAGGGTCATGGATGAAGGGCACGGCCGCGCCGGCAGATGTAGATTCAAGGAGACATGTCTCTAACGAGACCGATAGAAGAAAGGTATTTTGGTCTTGTTGTTGCCTCGGTAGCAGTCTGGAATTCGGCCAAGGTGGCGTGTCGCTGCCGCGTCTATTTATCTAATAATTCACATGTTGCAGCAGCAAATGCAATGCCGGTACATCTCCCCCGCTTACGGAAGTGTACCCCCCCCCCCCCCCCCTTGCCTCTACCCGGCTGCGTATACCAGGAAGCGAAGAGGCGCGCGAAGGAGAAAGCGGAGGCGCAAAAGCAGGTAGAAGCCATCCTCGCGGTTGCCGCCGGGGGCGACGCGGACGGGGGGGAGGGAGGGGGCGGGGGCGGGGAGGCGGTTGCAGCGGCGGCGGTAGACCCGGCGAAGCGAGCGAAGGCGTTGTCGAAGAAGCTCAAGAAGCTGGAGACTGTCAAGGCTAAGAAGGAGGCTGGGGAGGCCATCAACGCGGTAGGTTGATTTGGGCTGTGTTTTTTTTTTTGTTCTGTGGGTATGTAGACGAGTGATGTAGAAAACTTGAGGGTGATCAACGGCGTTTGAGAAACCGTTGTCGAAAACGGCAATTTTGCGTTTCTCTGGGGAGGTACAAACGTCTGTCAAGGTGTGTCATGGATTACGTAAGTTTGCCTTGTTGTGCTCCGTTCTTGTAGTTTTGACTTACCTCCTTGTGAGTGCGTACATCCTTGTGTCGCCAACAACAGAACACAAGAACTCGGCACGCTCACGGATTCACTGCTGCCGCAATATCACGCGTTAGTTTTTTTTGCAAGCACGTTGTCGTACATACGGTATTCAAAGATGGAGTAGAATTGTAAAACCCAACCCAATCGGCTAAATGGACTTCGGGACAGAGCAGGAGTCCTCGTCCAATCCAACACTTGAAAAATGAAAATTAATAGTCCGCGGTTTAGAGACTGAGCGAACCCTGATTTAGGCATCATGGCATGTTTCTCGTCCCTCGGTCTGCAGTTGCTTTCGTTGATAGTGGCTACCCGCTTTTTGGCCCACGGCCGGTCCCTCGACGATTGCCTCTCGTTTGTGACAACTTGCCGAGGACAGAGGTGAAATCCGACTCGCCTGTTGGTCACGTGGTTGTTGTTGGGCTTGGAACTCTTGGCCAATCGTTATCCTTAGCTGCATGTTGTCCGTCAAACCGTCCACTGCTTGTTGCCGTTGCCGTTGCGTGTGTCTGCTTGCTGTCATCACAATGGCAGGATCAAAGCGCTCTGTTGGATTCGGAGGCGGGGCTTCGGCAAGAGCTTGCGTCGCTGCAGCTGTGATTGTTCGTGCCTAGATTGCAGCTACATGCGCGTCAATCGAGATCGACGACATCACCACCTCCTCCGTAGATGATCCGAGAGCCGGGTGTGTCCCCCGAAGAGCGAAGGTCGAAGTCGAATCTCCGTAGATTTCTGTAGAAGATGATCGATGGCGTTGTGTGTCATGAAAAAACGATGTAGTTGAAAGCGATAGAAAAGGTCCTTCGGGACTCTGTGCATTCTTATGTGCTTTTTAAAATGCGGCGGGATTGTTGGGAGTGGCAGCTTTCGGACCTTGGGGGCTCTGTGCTTAAGAAAGTGCGGCGAGATTGTTGCAAGTGTCATTACCCCAGCTGCTGCTGACTCTGCCGAAGTAAAAAACCCTATTTTATCTTCCGGAGTGCGTGTCTGCGGCATAACTCGCCAACGACGAACCCCATCCTGCGTCCGCGAACGCGCTTTTCTTCGCGTGCAGCAGTAGCTTGTTTTTCCCACATGTTCTTGTGTCTCCCAAGGCCTCGACGCCCATGTTTTTTCCTACCTTCGGAGAGGCTTCCCGTGAAGAGGGGCGGATGGCGTTCGTTGAGTCCTCACTACGACGAGGCAGAAACGATTTTCGAACGATTTCATACGCGGCAAAGTAGTACTGAGTAGCCCGCGGATTGACCTCCCTTGCTACCGCCCGTGCAGGTATCATTTGCGTGGTTGTTGTGCTATGCAAAGGTGGGGTTTACTCGAGAGAGGCACTCGCGGTCGCGTTCGTTGCCCTGATGTTGTGGCCTGGTTGGGGATAAGGTTCAGGAGGGTGCATTCTGACCTGATGCCCGATAATGCACATGTTGTCCCCCCTTTTTTTGGTCTCGTGCTGTCATCGTAGAAGTAGCGATGCTGGCGCTGCAACCCTGGGATTTGACGTGGCGTTAGCTCCCCAGTAGAACGATCAAGGGCGTGGGGAGAAAGCAAAGATATATGAGGTTTGTCTTCGCCTTGTTGAACGAAACTCATCTTCCTTCCAGTCGAACAACTATGCATACTGCCAGTGGTAATAAACTTGTACAGCAGCAGTACGTAGAGCTTTCAACGTATCGTCTTTCACCACGTGTATGGGCCGTTCTCGTATTTCTCTTTGGGGAGTGTTGAAACTCTTAACTCTCATGTACAGTTGCAAACACTACACGTACGTGTTGTTTCGCCGGCAGCGTGACGCTTGCCTATACAGTATTCAACACGAAAGCCAACGCGTACATCCTTACAGATCAAGTCACCGAAGATGCCTGCACACCCCAACAGAACGGCACCCCTGGTGTGATACGTGTTTTCCTACAAAGGAGTTATTGAACGCCACAAATGGTATCACGGGGGGTGGTTGTTATCTTGCGTGGAATACGATAATACAGTAGTTAGTTGGGCAGGTGGTTTTTGGGTCAGGGTACGAACAAACAGCGCTCGAGCGTTCTGGCGCGACATCCACTTGACCTAATCCAGAGGTATATGGTCTTGTTGCAACATACATACTGCAGGCATATAGACACTTACTTGTGGCGCAGCGCGCAGAACTCCTCTGAGACGCCTTGTGCCAATGGGGTTTCCGCACATACGTAGGCGTTGCACCCAAAGATCGACCCAGTCGGCGGCCGTTGGGAAGAATCGCAGGATCCATCTGCCTCTCTCTGCTCTCGTGGTGATGACGAAGCGTTGGGAGAGCGCAGAACCATGCAGTTACCGGCAGCGTGATGTTTGGCAATACATCTTTGCCACAACGGTGCTGATTCTTTCGGCAATCGCTCGTCATGGGGTGCTGCAGTCACCAGCAGTCGGAACCATCTTATTGCTGGGTACCACCGCGGCAGTAGAGACAGCAGCAGGGTTGGCGTCCACAGGGCACGGTGGCGGGGATCCAGGAGTAGGTCCATGGGCTGCTGCAAGCGACAGCGACAGAGACGAGCCTATGAGAGCGGGTTTCGATGATGTTGGGTACGCGGAGATTTTGGCACGCGTTCCAGAACGAGACCTTCCGGCGTACCAGGCGCTGTATCGCGCCGTTGAGTTCCATGTGAGACGATGGCGTCTCCGCACACGCGACGAAGGCACAGCATGTTCCTGGGCTTGCACGTCTTGATAGCACGTAGTGTTGCACCAACTTTGTCCACGCAGCAATAATCTGGTTTCGTGTCTTGGTGTGAGCGGTCCAATGCACTTTTGTTCCGGCATGTTTCCCCGCACCGTACATATAGTACACCAGATTCAACATACCGTGTAGCCCACGCTGCACATGCGCATCAAAGCATACGGTACCTGTCAACTAAGCGTTATTCCACGACCTGTTCGTCTGATACTCTCTCCGGCACAAAAACTGAAGGATCGTGGAGAAATCGACGCAGCGATCTCCCAATATCGTGTGGCAATAAACATGACGAACGACCTGGCATCCGCGTGGTTGAACTTGGGGCTGGCCCTCGCCATGCTCGACCGTGAGGATGAAGCTATCGACGCCTACAAGGTACTGTTTGGCCGCCGAGTGTGTTGAAGATGGCATGTGTACGGGCTTTGGTAGGATCCTCACGTATTTGGTAGGATCCTCACGTACTACTCCAGTACCCTCTCACGTGTGTGCCTTATACCTTACGATGCTGGTTTGTGTCTCGCGATTCGACAGCACACACACGCACCACCACACACAGTGAGTGGGAGGTTTCGTTGGGATCAACAATCAGTGCTTCATCGACACATAGCAAACACAGCGCTGCGGTTGTTTACCACAAAGAGCAAGTACTAAGTCACACACTAGGCCACGGCCTGACCAAACACCCAAGCATGTATACACCCTCTTTACACAACCATAGTCTATGGGCCTTGTGCACAACGCAAACCACGGTCCACGTGCACCGTCATGATGGAGGTTACATTGATTGATTGGCGATAACAAGGGTGCAATAGTTTTCTTGATTGAATGGACGCAGGTGGGACGTATTATGAACCAGAAATGTGCTTCCGCGCTCCCGACATGTCAGGGTGAAGTCGGGCTGTCGGCCTTGAAACGAGAGCGAAAACAGCCATTTGCTGCCTGCCTTTACGAAATATTATGTACAGCATGGTGGTGGTGTCGTGGTTCGCGATGACCCACCGACAAGCAAACTAAAAAACCCGAAGCTCGCAATTTTTACCACTCTGCCCGGAATTCTGTTGTCAGCAAACAACATCCACCTGACGATTCGCTAGAAATACGTCTCTCACCAATCGATCGACGCCTAGGAGGTGACTGATGGATTTATCCTTCCGTTGGGCACAACGTCTTACCCCTCCCCAACGCCCTAATGCTTGGGACATCCATGTTGACCCAGGTTGTTATCAAGCTACCAAACGCGTTGCCCATTGAGGTAGCTTCGGCGTACTGCAACCACGGGCACTTGGTGCAAACGCGCGCAGGAGAAGACTATGCTCTACTCGCAGAAGGGATTTCACTGTTCCAAAGGCACGTTTATCGCATACATACTTATGATTCTCTCTGCTTGAGTCAACCAACTATTGTTGTCGCCCAACCGTAATAAGTTGTGCATTCAGAGACAATCTGCGATCGGGCAACAAGTTCTCGTTTTTTCAAGGGCGGGCTACTTGATTTGAGTGGCCCACTACCGACACACCCGACAACATTTCTGTATTGATTTCTGGCAGATATCTCATGACAATTCAAGCGTAGGCTTGCGTTCCTACACCAGCCCAATTCAAGCTCGCTGTTACCATCACAGTGATTGAGGTGTGCACCCAAAATATCAACTCTTGAATCCCAACTCACACCAGAGGTGGCTAACTGCTTCAGCAACATGCAGCATCACCGTCTCACGTCGACAAGTGAAGTCACACCACCCGGATTTGCTCCTTCCTTGTGTGCAGGGGTCTCGAGAGGGTACCGGACCACTCAACCTGCTTGTATAACTTCGGCCTTGGAATGGAAAAGGTGAGGAACGTGAATGGGAGGTAGCCAGAAGGGGCGTCCCGTACCTGAAGATGTATGCATATGGACACCGGGTGAAAATGTGACAACATGGTTCGATTCGTACCACCTTCGTTGATATTATTGTTACAGGCGTTTCCCTAGTCGTTCAGGCATGCATGTAGTATCGACGATAACGATAGCCTTCTCACGACGACGACAAGAACAAGAACAACAACAACAACAACACGTGATCACTTAGTCCATACGCATTCTAAATTGAGTACTCACGTTCCACGAACTACAGCTCGGCCGATACCCGGAAGCGAAGAACCTGTACACCCGAGCCGTGGGTTTGGACCCCTTCATGGGAAACGCCCACCTCAATCTAGGAAATATCGCCTTTCGGCAGGCCAACTGGACGGAAGGGATACTTTGCTATGAAAGGTGGGCACGTGTTTTGACGTCTCTGCTGTTATACTTCTTGATCAAGTAATGGACGGTGTACGACGCTTGTCCCTATAGCGAGACTACAGGATTTCGCCAAGATTGCACCATCTCCTGCTACGTGGCGTACAACTTGCTTTGGATGCCCCCATGTTGGTGCTATTGCTTGTCACGTCGGTGAGAGAGTATGCCACGTATTGCATCACTTCGTGTTGCTCTGTTGCGCTCGTTTCCTTCGCATGACGACGCTGTGTGATTTGCTAGATGTTGCTGTTGATGTTGATGTTGGTACTGGTGTAAGTAGCGGTCATGGTTAGTGAGGGATAGTTGTGATGATTATTGTAATGTTGCTCATGTTTGCGGTTGTTGCCAACTTCATCACCGGTCATTGAACCGCAACACCTCCTTCATCACATGTTGTTATTTTTGTTGTTGTTCTGAACGGGACATACGACTTTACAGAGCGCACCAGAGCCCGGACGCAGACCAGCGCCTGCTCACGGTTAGCAGCTTCATGCTCGGACAGGTATGAAGCCGACCGTCAACGCCAATTCTGTGCTCCTTCATCCCATTCAGCTTGCTTGAGAAGCGTTTTTCAAACAATCGAATCGTGATAAATCCCAACAAAATACTCTCATGCAGTCCAAGACATCGTTGATTTCCGCGAAGGACAGGCGCGCATCCACTGCAATCAAGGAGTCGGGCTACCGCACTCATCTGTCTGTAACACTGTAGCGCACGTCTCGGCTGGGTGTAGACTAAGGTAAATAAACACAAGGTGGAGTCGCGAATACAGGACATTTCGCGGTGAACGTCTCCGGCGCTTCTCCTGTACGTTCAGGACGCATCTGTTGACCCACCAAAAGCAGAGGCGGTAGTCGCATCCCCACCTTGGTGGTGATCTTGGGAGAAGAGCACAACAGGACACGAGATCTTCTTCTAGATGTCCCGCACACCATCAGCCCGGTTTCTGGGAAGATAACACAGAAGCACCTCTTCCCCTCGATTGACGTGGCAGAATCAGTGATGATTGTACCAACCCCGGTTTGGTCCCTAACCCCGAATGACTTGCTTTTGGGGACCGAAAATTGGCGAATCAAGCAAGAGAAAAATAAGAGGAAGGAAAGACCACGCGCCAGTCAAAAATATTTCCATAGAAAAGCACCCTTGAACATGAGCGCCGTACATCGTGGCTGTCGAACTTGCTCGAGGTATAGCTGCATCGTCACGGCATCGGGAACGTACGGAAGGCCGTCGAGTACTACAAGAGGTCGTACGACACCGACAACACCTACAAGGATGCCCTCTGCGCCATCCTCCAGGTGAGCTCAGAATCTGAAATTGCTGCATCCCCGCTTGATCTGGGTCGAAATCGTTAACCTCTCTACGGCCAGCGATCCACACGAACAACCCACGAGTCGTTGTTCCCATCGTCAAAGACGAGCAAGCCGAGAACACGGATCAGTCAAGCAAAACCGTGAGAGTCGGGCACCAGATCTCAAAATGCACGCGCACAGGAAGTGTCCCATCACGAAGTGAACCGGATGTGCGAGTAAGCTGAAACGAAACTACGGCAATATTTCTGTACGTTTGCTTTCCATCCATTTGCCCCAAGTCTCTTCGATCGCTTTGCCTGTGGGAAGGGTGGGAGTCCCTCGAGCCCCGGGTAGCGTCTGCCATCATGGATCAAGTTTCGTCGGGCAAGGAGCCCGGGCCCCAGTCCCCCTACGAGACGCGCTTGACAGGTGAAGAAATGGTTAAGCTTAACACCTTGCAAAACCCACATGTTCCAACTCCTTGGCCGCGCACCACACATTGTACATACGCTCCGCTACCATGCAGTTCGAGAGTTGGCGGCGGGGGGGTGGGTGGCGACCCTAATCGACGTGTTGTGTAGTTTTTCTTTCGGAACACAAGCTGGACACGCATCCGCACAAGGGAAAGACGCAGCCCGTGGTGGTCTATCCGACCAGGCAGGTAGTGCGCCAAACGAAAATCACCTTGAGGTGACCGGTGAGTCGCGGGAAGGAACGGGAAGCGGAATCAACTTACCAATATGTCCCAAGAACCGCTCGCAAGGCCGATTTCTGCACCTTAACCTCACGTTTTCGTACCGTCGACACTTTCGAAGGGCTTGACTACAACCCGCTGTGGGACTAAACCTAGACTATTTTTGTTGTTTGAAACCAATCCAGCCAGCATCAAACTTGTCTCGTATTTTGATTTCAAACAAACGCGCCACAAAACACGATTAAAAAACAGGAGAACTCAAGCCATCCCAGCACCTGGGGTTGGCCCGGCTGGCGTCGCAGCAATTCGACCGTGTCGAGCGTCTGCCCCTTCCGGAGGACCACACACGGAGGCTCTCCTTCCGACAGGGAGAAGCATTGGGACAAGGGCGCGGGCTCCAGCAAGACTCGATCAGCTTCGACGAGTGGCTGAGAAGGCAGGGCATCGAGGCAGGTGACGGCAACGGAGAGGAGGCGGGGCCGCGTGGGGGTGCGTCGGTGAGAAGGCGCGCGGCAGCAGGAGGCGGGCTCGTGGTGGCGTACTGGAGCTACGACTACCGCGACCATGCTATGGGACACCTGACCAGAGGGCTGTTCTGTAGCCACCAGGTAAAGAAGAGGTTCGGCCCGTTGGAACGGCGCGGGCTAGCGCCCCGCCACGAACTCCTCGAAGAGATGGTTAGCCTCCCGATTGTCCCTCTTGCGGGGGAGAATCATTATTTTAAACACCACCAAAGACGTTTGAGACCCATCGGTGAAGCCTGTTGTGGCGCGTACCTTGTATATTTGACACCGGTGTGCTTCGTGCCGTCAGCCAAACCGGATACGAAAAAGTGTCCTTTGTCCGAAGGGTTAGCAGAATGCGTATTGCGTTCAAAGCTGGAATTAGTGGTTTTCTCCGCGCCTCTTTTGGTGGCGTGTTTTGTGGTAAGCGTGACAGTTGATGTTTTTCGCCCACCACGGATGTAGAAGATCGGGGTCTGAACGGAACCGAAAAAGAGGAGGGAGACAGACAGGGGCAGGCGACGAGGGGACGCAGATCGGTTATTTTTGGAAGCTCAGTTTTTTTCCTGATCACATGTCGTGGTATCTATCAATCCCACACGAAACCTTGTACCACGTTTTTCTTTGGTCGATCCAGTTGGTTCGTCCGGAAGCCGGAGGTACTGGGAAATGCTGAGAACTGTATTAATAACGACAAACAATGAATCAATGTACAATCCGTTTCCTTGGTGGTACTTGGTTGCACAGGCCCACAATCGAGTATTCGCTGTGGCCGCTTCGTACGGACACGACGACGGGAGCCCCGTGCGTCGCAGCGCAGAGAACTGCGCAGGAAAATTCCTGGATGTTTCTTTGGCAGGACACGCGGAGTCCGCCAAGGCAGTAGCGGCCGAGCGGCCCGAGATCTTTGTCGACCTCATGGGACACACGACGGGAGCGAGGTGGGTTGAACGTCAGGTGGCGTGCCTTCGTGACTCATAAACCGGTTGAGAGTTGATGTATCGGGTCACAACTACACCTTGCTGGCGGAACTAACTCCTCAAGAAGAACCGCCGTGAATGAGATAATAAGTGTACCACTAAAGAGTAACCGTTAGTGCAAGAGACGTTCCGCAAAGGAGATACACCAAGAAGGAGTTATTGCCACAAAGAAGAATCATACGCAGTACAATCTACCCTATCGCTTCCCATGTGTTACAATGTTTCGTGTCCATGTGTTTGGTACAGGCCCGGCATTCCGGCCCTGAAGCCGGCTCCAGTGGTGGCGAGTTACCTAGGATTTCCCGGAACGGTAGGAGCTGAGTACACCGACTACACCATCGCTGACAGGGTGAGACAATAAACATCGTCCTGGCTCGTTGTTGTCCACTTCGTCTGAGAAACTGAGAATCAGCGTGGTAAATGTGTCTTCCGTTTGTTGTCGTCTTTTCGTCTATTCTTGATATGGTGGTGTTGTATTTGCTGTAATTTTTTGCAGCCGACCAACACTGATGACCTCCATACGCATACAACCTGCTTGTTTCCTTCAGACGACCGTCCCGCCCGAGCTGGCAAACGTCGGGTTCTCAGAAAAAATGGTCTACCTTCCCCACAGCTACCAGGTCAACAACTACAACGTGTCGTACGGTTTTTGCCCCGGGGGGGAAGGTCTTGGAGAATGCCAGGCTTCCGTCAGGCAAGATTTTTGGCCCGTGTAGTCCATTGAATCGTCTGGTACACATGCGAGCGTCACCATAGTAAGCAGATTTACTAGGTAGCGCCGGCAAGCAGCAACGCGATCGAGCGCAGTTGACCGGGCGGAGTAGCACGCGTAGCTCCCGTATGCATACTCTGGCCAGAGAAGCACGCGCCATTTGCACGGCCGAGAAGCACACGCAGCTCCCCCACCAAGCATGACTACCGCAGTTCGAGGTAGACCTTAGCGAATGGAGGCCAGCTTGAACCAGGTTTGGCAGACATTTTGCTGGGCAGGCAAGCAAAGAGCAGCAGTTGCGCAGTGGAGTTCCACTTTCATGTCAGAGTCAACAAGAGAGCATCGGAAACACACACCAACACGAACGACAGCGGCACGGCGCTGAAATTGATTGTTCGTACCACGATAAGCACTTGAACGGGCGTTCTGGATGTTTGCCACGCACTGCCCGATAGTCCCCCCCTCCCATCATCACGTTCCTAGGAAACGCTTCGATGAACGACCTTTCGCCAAACGGCGTCGTCTCACACTACCCCACGTCCCGATCGGGCGATGCAACCCCAAACGTTTTCTTTCACCAGGAAATCAAGAGGGCTAGATGGCTTCCTGGACCCTTGGGGGGGAAGAGGGCCGGTCTTATGCAACTATAACAGCATCCACAAGATGGAACCCGAGTCCTTCACAGTCTTCATGAACATTCATCAAAAGGTGTCCGCCATGCAAAGTCGATCCCCCTGCAAAAGTAAGCACCGAAGATGCCCCCCCCCCCCCCCGCACATGTGACAAATCGGAGGAGAGTAGACCCCACATAGTTGGGGAGTGTGAGTTGTACAGGAAGGAAAGAGAGGATCTCGAGGAGGAAATGAGACAGAGAGGGTGTGACATGGACAAGTTTGGTACATTAGACAACAGCGAAAAAACGATCGCGATAATTGGGGATAGATGGTGGGCACAAGAGGCCCTAGAGGACGGGGATAAGATGTGCAAGAATTTTTTTATGTAGTTTGTGGCAGAAACGTAAAGAGCTCCCAAATGTTGGTGGTGTCTCTAGTAGGGGTAGGAACGGTGCTCCGTCTCGAAAGGGACGCGTGGTCAATGGTCAAATGACTACGGCAAGCAACAAATGAGTACGCCCCCCCCCCCCCCGACCACCTTATACACTGTCTCCCTCCCTAATCCACAAAAAACATCCCTATACCCC